ACTGACATGCACCTCATAAGCGAGGCTTGATGATCTACTTCTCAACATTCACACAGCCTGGAAAAAAAGCTATGAAGCATTCTACTCTGCTCAGGATTTCTATAAGTCATACTCCACTACACAGAAACTAACAACAGGTGGCAATAAACTTCCCCTTCAGAGGATAATTTAGAGATATCTCTGATAGAGATCAAAATGAGTGATCTAATTTTTAATAAAATAAATGTTCAGACGATACAACCTTCTTCAGTGAAAATGAGGAGGACCTGAAGCATCTTCTGCAGAAAGTCAAAGACTGCAGTCTTCAATATGGATCAAAAGTCAAAATCAAGAAAACAAAGATTTTCACCACAGCGCCAGTTGACAGCATGATGGTAGATGGAGAAAAGATTGAGATTGTCAACAATTTCAGCTTGCTTGGTTCAATGATAAAGACTCTTGAAACCAGCAGTCAGGAAATCAAAATATGAGTTGGATTAGGAAAGTCTGCTGTCAGTGACCTGTCCAGAATGCTGCAGTCTAGAGTGCTCAGTCTAGAGACTAAGGTTCACCTGATCCAGGTCTTTGTAATTACTTGTCTATCAGAGAGCTGGACAATGAATAAGGATGATAGAAGAAGAATTGCTGCCCTTGAGTTGTGGTGCTAGAGAAGAATATTGAACATACCATGGACTGCCAAGAGAACAAACAGGTCTGTTCTGGAGAGCATGAAACCAACTTGCTCTCTGGAGACAAGGATTTTGAAGCTCTGACCCTCATATTTTGGGCATATTGCCAGGAGAGGACCAGTCCTTGGAGAAGAACACCATGCTTGGAAGGGTGGAGGAACAACGCAGATGGATTGACACAGTGACTCGGGTGATAGGGGCAGGTGTATTTTAGACACTGAGATTGGCTCAGGATAGGATAGAGCTCAGAGCTATTATGTATAGTTGCAGGCAACTTAATGGCACTTAACAACAACAATTCAAAACTATTACAAATAATTTCCCCATATGTGTTTCAATAACTTCATGAATCCATGCTGTATTGGAGGAGTATTAATACTAGAAGACAACAATCTTGGTTATTTGGAGGGTTAGGATGTAAGAAATATAGCAACGTATTTCTTAGTATTGATATGGTCACTCAAGCTAGGTATACAATATACATCCACTCAGGGGGACATTCTGCTCAACTCCTGGTTATAAATCTCAGTGACGTCGTTATTGGGCACCAATTGGATTGAGGACAGTGACTGACCTGATATAAAGGAAAATAGACAATGTTGGACAAACAGCTATTAATTGTATACATGTAATACAAGGATTGTAAGAGTGAGATGTCTAGAAATATAAAGCATAGGAACTAATGGATAACTGAATATTGGCCCTGAAAGAAAAGGAAATATGACGAGGGTTGGGAGACACAATGAATAATCAGTAGAGAAAGCCACTGTTGTAAAATTGTATTTGTTTTGGAGAACTAAATAGATTTCCGGGGAAAAAAGTGCCTTTTAAGGTTGCCAAATTGTGAGTTTATGAAGTCTTGTACAGCTTGTGCCTGCTGCTGGATCTAAGTCAAATGTTTCCAGATGGCCCTGATAACCAGGAGGTCCCTTGACAACTCACTTCAGAGCCTAAAACAAATGGAAATGAAAGGCAGCTCCTTATTAAGTCTGTCTATGTATTCAAACAGTGGCATCCTTTGTCAAGCATTATGCTGATGCTGTGTCTGCTATTCTAGTCAGATAATCTATTTCACTTAGGAACAGAAGAAAGGATCTTTTTAAAAAAAATATTGCCTGATTTTGCCCTATCTAGATGAGGTGAAATATATTGCATGAAATGAAATAAAAGAGATTTATGGAGTTTTATAGCTATTCTCTGTTTTTATATGCCATGTGGAATCACCAATTTCTGAACACATTTTAAGATTTAAGATGTATATGTAAGTAGATCTACAACCACTTATAAAATAAGAAATCACTGCTGAAGTTGGCTTGGATGAGTTCTAAGAATGAACGGTCTGTAAGTGTATGGAGAATGACCATAATTATCAAACTTGTTAAGTAGTGTTTTCAATTTCTGTGCCTAAAAAAGGGTAAAAATTATGGAAATCTATATAAAGCTGATATTTTGTCTTCACATTAGTTTAAAGTATGAAATAAATGTTAAGATAAATATTCACTTGTTTTCTAAGTTGTATCTGTTTGCTACACAGATGATTTGCAATAAGGGGAAACAATGTTAATGGATTTATCCATCACACAGGGATAAACTTGAAAACAAAAATGAACATACTTGAGAACTAACCCTTACTCAAATAAGTAGTCAATCTTGGGTTCCTTTTAGTTAATATTATGCAATACTATTTCTGAACAAATTTGTTGCTACTGTTTACTGCTTGTGTATAATTGGCTATTGAAATTGTTAAGTATTTTGACAATGCTTTTATTCATGAATCAAATATCTTTTTTCCCTAAGACAATATATTTCTGGGTAAAAGCAGTGTGGGAATCCTGAGTCCAATCTCTACTAAAAATCCACAAAGGAGAGCAGTCCCCATCAGCAGCAAACATAGAATAAAATTGTAAGATCAGACAGCTCCCTCACACCTGTTGTTGTTATGTGCCGTCGAGTAACTTGTGACTCATAGCGACCCTATGTACAACATCCCTAAACTCTGCTCTGTCCTGTGCCAATCGCACCGTCTCTGATACACACATCCTGATTACCCCAGTCACTGAATCAGTCCATCTCATAGGGGGCTTTTCCCCCCCTTCTGTGCTGTCCCTCCACTCTACCAAGCATGATGTCCCTCTCCAAGGACCTGTCCCTCCTTGCAACATGTCCAAAGTATGTTAGACGGAGCCTTAGAATCCTTGCCTCCAAGGAGCAGCCGGGTTTGACCCTTTCCAGGATGAATCTGTTTTCCTAGCAGTCCATGGTACCCTCAATACTCTTCTCCAGCACCACAGCTCAAAGGCATCATTTCTCCTTCTGTCCTCCTTAGACATTGCCCCTCACACCTACTTCTACTAATCACTGATTCCAATGTTCATTACAAATTGACTCACAGACTTTACTCACAGTTGTGGGGTAGATTAGGGAAATAGGTTAGGGTTTGGGAGATGCAGAGGAGAGCACACAGTGGAAGTCCAGGTTTAGGCCAACATGAAAAATACAAGTCTCTGGTTTCCTCAATCGTCTAGTAGATTTGCCTTAGAGCAGTCACAAGTCAGCTCTTCCTTTAAAAGTCCAGCAAGTTTAACCTTTAATTCTCACTTCATTTGCAGGGATCTATTAAGCAATTCCCCACCACAATCTTTCTACAGGCAGTCACCTCTTTTTTATGTTGGTCTTGCAATTGTTGACATTGTTGAAGATGCTGATCAATGATGTATCACAGGGTGGTCACTGAAATAGATTTTAAAAATACAGAATTATGAGAGTGATGGAGATTTTAAAGTAAAATTACATCATGTGATAATTACATGAGATAAAATATTTTTAATAGTATTCTTTGGTTTTTGTTATGAGGTGAGAGAGATAGGTTGTAATTTATAAGTTTTGCTTTTTTTAAACTTACATTCTTTTTTGTGGTTGTCACATTGCTATGAAATCAGTTCCAACTCATAGTGACTGACCCTGAGTGTGCTGAGTAGAACTGCTCCCTAGGTTTTGTTTGTGGTCTTTCTGAAACAGGTCTGTCTTCTCAGGTGCCTTTATGTGGGTTCAAATTACAACCTTTTAAAAAATATTTTAATTTATTCATTTTTCATTTCAATGAACATCTACAGAGATTTTGGAATTCCATTCATTCTTTGTT